ACCTGATCGGGAGTTCTGAAGTTTTCATAGGTTTACGTCCCAAAATGTCGAGTTTCAGATTTGAAAATCGCAGGTCTCTATCGCCTTTCGTTCTCCAGTTATTTAAAAAGTAACGATAATCACTATTTTTTTTTGTCGACAATATAGATGAATAAATAGAAATTATATAGGTCTACCAATATTTATTTTTCGTTCTAGCACATGTATCTTTTGTGGAGAAAAAAATGAACTATTTGTTAACGATGGTTTAGAACAACATTATTGGTCAATTTGTCCGATGTTAACACGATGCAAAGAATGTAATCAGGTAGAGTAATAGAGCACAACACTTTTTTATATTACACGATCGATGTTCACCATTGCCGCAGTGTTTTCGACGATACAATTCAATCGTTTGACTTTTCATTATAGAAAAGAGATAATTTCTTGAATTAGTCCGGATCTATTTTGACTGAATTATGAATGGTCTAATTTTCTATAAAAACAGTTGAAGAAGGGTTATTTCGCTTAACATAGGTTTTCACTAGATTTTTTATTGCGCTTTTTTCTGAAAACAAGCATTGATACGAGGGTCACTATGGTCGACAACCTATACATTTGTAAACGGATGCTACGCTGAAACTACAATCGATGAAGGGTCCGAATGGTTTCCATTTTTAGAGAACACACTATGCTATTTATGCGTGAAAGAAAAGAAAAATACTTTTATGGTAGTTTTCGGAATATCGGTCTAGGTTTTCGAATATTCTTTTAAAAATCAGTTAATGGCAAAAGAATTTGAAATTTTTTGTTTTTCCCTACAATTATAATTATTTTCCCTGATCTTAGCTATCGACTGGCGAAAACTGGTTGTTTCTATCTTCTTTCTTTCAAATAGTCTTCGTTCAATTAACCAAAGACTCTCGATGGTCAAAATCAGCAATAGCAACAGAAAAACAAAAAATGAAAACGCGGAAAATATTTTTGTTTTTTGTTTTGAAAATATTATTTTGATCAGTGTTTAAAGTATTCGCAGTAATTTGAATACTATAAAGTCATTTTAAATTTGGGAAACTGTCGTACAAGGAGATAGATGTACACGTCTCATAATATCAATTTATATTATTATTTATTCAAACATTCCACGTACAATCAATCGAATAAACTTTAAAATGTTTTGAAAAATCATTTCAACAACTAATGAATATTAAGCGAAAAAAAGCTATATCATTAATTACATTCTCTGACATGAAGATGTTATATACGAAAAAGAGAAACGAAATTAATTTTCGGTATAATTTCATGTTCTTATACAAACTCACTACTTAACCTATGTTGACGAATCTTAAAATAAAATCTTACAAAATCATATAAAAGAACTTATTTCAAGATTTCGCAAGGTCTTGTAAAATTTTGTTAAATTCTCACATGATCTTGTACGATTTTCTAAGAAATGTCTGCAAGATTTTTTGTATAGTTTTGATAAAAGTTTACGAAATTTTACGTAATGAGAACTTATCTCACTTGCAGGAAATTCACAAGATGACTCAATAACTCATAAAATCTTAATAAATCTGAACATTAAAGGTGATTTGCTTGCTTTTTGCTATCAGTTTCTCCTATTTCCCTCTGTTTTCTCTTTTTCTAATATTTTCAAGCATAAGTAAAATAATTTATATTGTACAAATTTTATATGTTCTTAGATGGTATTGTAAGAGCGTATCACAAAAAATTTACACATGCTTGATGAATAACTGTTAGAGAATCTCACAAGATCATACGACTTTTTATCTCACTGATCATGCGAGAACTTATTCATCCGATCAGAATTACTCCAATAGGTTCCGGTAGTCTTATTGCATTTATTCCAAATAAAATTTTCTTTTAAAATGTGAGTTTCTTTCTTATATTTCTTTACTTATTAACTGATTAAGGAAATGTGCATGCAATTGAGTCGTCATTTATATGGTTAAATAGAACTCTAACAAGACTAATTTTCATTATTTCTTTGTTACTGTTTTGCCTAGGGATGATAAATAGTACATTATTCATTATAATTTTTTTCCTTAGTTCGTCAATGTATATTATAAATCAAAGTTGACACTGTTTATGCCTTTAGGTAATTGAAATAGCCACTCTAATTGATCATTTACTAAGTGAATGTACAAATCATGAAAAATATAGTCAATGTTTACGTTGTAATGAAGCGATATTAAAAACTGAATATGAAAAACATACAAAATTAAAAGAATGTCTTGAAGCAAAGCCGAATACAAATCGTTGTCCATTATGTCATAATAATATTGATTCAAATGGTGAACAATCATGGCGAGAACATTTAATGAGCGTTGATGGTTGTGTTAGAAATCCAAGACGCGAATTAGCAATTAAAAAAAAAAGTAAAGTATTTAAATTACAATTGTTTTTAAAATTATTTTTTTTTTACAATTATCGTTTATAGATAAAGAACATCAACAACCACATTTACCCATATCACAAAAATCACATCATCCACAACAGCAACAACAACAACAACAACAATCATCAACATCAAATGTAATTAAGAAACAGAATACGAAAAAAGTAACTGTAAAGTAAACTGATAAATGCAATCTTTTTTGCTTTTCTGGTGCCATTTTGTTTATTTTATTATATATGTTCATATTGAATATATTTTATACATCTGTTTTTATTCGTTTTACATAAAAATTCCAAATATTCACTGAATACTTCCTATTTTTTTTTTATAACTGTGAGATACATATGTATACTGTTTAAACAGATTTTCTTTTATCTTTGTATATGTCTGTGTAACTGGGTTTGGATGTGTTTATATATATTTATTTATTTATTATTTTTGTATATAACTGGGAAGTTGTTTGAATTATGAAATGTTGAATTTCTTTTGTTTGCAAAGAGAAACGCTACATTATTTTCGCGCAATCAATGAAAAAGAGGACTCTCTTTCGAGATCTGTATAGATATGTATAAACGATTTTAATGATGAAAAGTAAAGATATTTTATTGTTTACTTTGATGTTCATTTTTTTGTTGATTTGGCATGGATCGAAAAAATAAAAATAAGAAACCATGTAAAAGCCACAAATAATAACCGTGATAGAAAACTGGAAAAGCGAACAAGTATGTTGACAAATATAGTCGGATTAAAACAATATGTCAACCGATATTTCACGTTTTTTTAATGTAAATTTATCTTACAATCAATAAGATTGCATAGATTTTGCCCTTTTCGTCTGGGAACGAGGAAAAGCGAGGACTGTGAGAGCGAGTGAAACGAGAACAATTCAAAGCTGAAAATCCATGAGATGAAACTTAGTTTTACAAATTGTTAGAATAACAAGAAAATCTCAAGTATACAAAATCATTCTGTACAACCACAGTTATAGATATCGCTGAACTACCGGTTGCTCAAACGTCGGTTAATCAATACAAGAAAGTCAGAAACGTAGCTTCGATCGATCAATATCTATATCTTCTGATGATTGAATTTCAGAGAGAAGGCATCACGTTAGCAGAGTACGTTTGTAAATAGAGTGGGCAAAAAACCGATAAAATCTCCTAAATTCTCCCGATTTCAGTATATAAACCTCAACTCGTCAGTTCGGATTTTTAGAAGGAGTTTCAAAAAAACATCTTGTCTGCTCTCACGAAGGGATTACCCCAACTACCTCGTGAGTTATGACTCCGTCTTACCACTGGATGTAGATCTTGATGAGACTAAGAAAAGTCTGAAATGGTTCGTGTTTATGGCCTTTCGTGTTCGAGCTATGATCGACTTTATGTCAAAAAAATGCTATGTTTTTTACTTTTTCAGGAATTTTTTCTCGAGCATCACAACGAGTTGAGTGATGAAGCTTTTTCTCAAATAATCTAATTAGTAGTCTACTTGCTCCAAAACTTTGAACTAAATTTGCCCCCTTTTTGGCTTTTCTTAGTCTGATCGAGCTCTACTTTTCGTGGTAATAAGGAGTCGTAGCTCGCAAGGCAGTTGGGCGGCGATCCCTTCGTCAGTTTCAAATGTTCATTGGTTTCTCCTTGTCATTAGCTTCCACTTTTGTTTTACTTTTACACCAATTGTTTAATGATTTGACCACTCTTCTGTTCGATAAATTCAGTCCGATCATTTTCACTCATCATAGATAAGAAATAATTATTATGAACTTTAGAAGAAAAAGAGTTTTGGTTTCTCTAAAATGTGGTCCATGTCCATGATCAAAACGAAGAATTGTCTATCTAACAGAGCTCCGTATGGACTCAAAGTTCCGAGTCCAGTCCGAGTCCATGAAAAACAGTTTTTTCAGTCCATGGACTCTAAAACAAGTAGTCCATTCCATTCCATATCTAACGCTCTGTAACCAATATGGAAGAGGTTTTTAAGTCTCTATCTTTCATTTTTACACGCAACATTAATGAATATTTGCTTATTTTAATCCTTTGAGTATGGGCGACGCGAATTCGTGTTCGGAGATTTTGTGTTCTAAATAGCTTCCGTAAATATTACGTATTGATTATTCAATGAAATGAATGACCCAGTTTTGTCTGTTGATCTCAAATGTGTTATTAGTTTTGCTTGAAAATATATGGGGAGTGAAAAGCGAAATAGCGAAGGTTAGAGGTGAGTGTGTAACCTTTCTGACAAAAGTTTCACATACGTTTTTCGGAACCATAGCTTTCCCTGATTATTTTTCATGATTATGATGTACATTCAGTGCAAATACTATAGTACAAAGAGCGACCCTTAGTTCTTCACCTCAGCTCTTCTACATATGTTTGAATCGTGGGTGCTCGTCCTCAATGAATTTTCAGAACCACACAATAGTTAACCTTCATACTTTGGCTGGATAATCTACAGACATTTTAGAGTCCTTGGTGCGAATTAGAAGTCAAAATGATGCTCCTAATTGGAATTGTGAATTTTTTTTCGCAAAAAACCACCAAAATAGCTGTATTTCACTAACTCCTAACTCACGAAATTCATATTGTTGATAAAGTAGAGTCGTGGCTGCATTTTTGTAGAAAGAAAAGTTTTCTTCTTTCTCAGGTCAGGAGTTATTGATATTTTACGGAAAATAAATAAATTGCTTATATCTCATGAACCATCCAGTAAAAGAGGCTCAAAGTTGGTGGATGATCAGCATTCGGTAAGAGTTATAATCACACAAAATTAGAAGCTCCTAGCTATCATGGTTCTTGAGTTACAGGAGTGTCCCTACTTTTGCGGGATTATTTATTTTTACTTAAAGAATTAACAAGCACCAACTCGATTATTTATTTCTATATATATTTTTTGTTTTTTTGTCATTTATAAACAGAAGAAATGGTGTTTGAGAGAGAGAGATATAAAGAAAGAATTGATTTATTAATGATTTATTATCATACAATTGATATATGTTCTACATCTGATATTGTATTTGTTGTCAATTCTGTCATTGTATGCTTTCTTTTACTTGTTTGAGATGATGAATTTTCTGGTTCAATTATTTCACATAATAATGTTTCAAATACTGGTTTATCTTTTGTACATACATTTATATTATTCATAAATGGTGTTAATTCAATTTTAATTAATCGTTTTAAACACAATCGTTCACATCGACAAAAACATTTTAATTTTGTTCGTGTTAAATGATAATAAATAATTGTTAATTGACGAGAATATATTTGATAAAATAAATAAATAATTAATGATAAAATTCTTAATGGTATTGAATAACATGATAAAATAAAAAATAATTGAAATAAAAATTTTAAATATTTAGATGAAAATGGTGTATAGGAAAAAAATAATGTTATATTTAACATACAAACATAGAATAAACGAAGTAAAATAAAAAATGTATGAATATATAATAAATATTTTAATTGAAGAAGATGTTTAACTAATGAATGTTGTTGAAGAGTTGGTTTAATTAATTTTTTTGATGATATTATTGTTTTTAATTTTTGTTTTAAATAAATTAATGATTTTTTTTGTTTTATTTGATTATTATTTATACATGAAGATGTTGATAATGATAAATTTTTTGTTTGTATATTCCATGTATTTAAATATGTAAATTTATTTGATATCCAAAAATTAATTGTAATTAATATACCATAAAATGTTGAATGTAATAATATTAAAATTGCTATTAATGTTGAATAGGGTTGATAATATGTACATCTTGATACACGATAAGGTGATGGTGATAATAATGAAATATGAGTATAATCTGTTCCATTAATAAAATAATTTATTCTATGTGTATTATTATTATAGGATTTAAATAATAAATGATTATTATTTAATTTTTTTCGTTTTTTTAATTCTATTGTTGTTATTGTTTTTATTGTTGTTGTTGTTGATGTTGTTTGATATTTATTATGTTTTAATAATGATAAAGGAAATTTAATAAATATTTTCATTGAATCTTTATATGTTGAAACAATCATATTATCATTTTCTTTTTGTGTTAATATTGTTAAATTTGTTAAATTATAATTATAAACTCGACCTTGTGCATATAAATTTAAATCATTTAAAAATCTTATTCTTGTATCAGATTTAATATCAATATCATTTGATGATTTACTAATTGAATGAATATAGGGTTGCCAATATTGTTTATTTTCAATATATCTTACTAAATAAATATTATCTTCTTTTAAATGTGTTATCCAATTATGAATATAAATTGTAAATAATAGTGAACAAAATGCTAATATTCTTGAACGAATTGAACATGAAACAAGATGATGATGTGAAAAATAATATTTAATTTGTTTTCGACGAATAATAAATAATAATATTATTGTTATTGAACTACCAGCTTCTGCTGATGATTTTGTATAATAAATAAAACGACATATTAAACCATAGGTAAAATCATATTTTGTATAAATATTTGTTTTAATAATAATTATAGAAAATAATTGTGAAAGATCATAGAATAATAATGCGTATATAAATGGAACAATACATGGTGTTAATAAATCAGAATGAAAATATAATAAATATAAAATATAAATTGAAATTATAAATGAAAAAATAAAACTTAATAATAAATAAAACATAGATGTTGAATTAATAAATATTTCTTCTATATCATCAAATGTTAAATTGTACATACTTAAAATATTTTCATTCATTAAACTAAAAATAATAGAAAAATAAGTTAAAATTAAAAAAATAACAGAATACTTTTTGTTTTGATGTTTTTTTAATTAAAAATAACAACAACAATAATAAACAAGTACTAAAATTAGATCATGTTCTTCCTCTCTTTTGTTTTAATCTATCTATTCCTATAGTCTTTATTGTTAAATATTCTTGTTTATTAGATTGACGACTCTCCGAGGGGCTTTTTTCTATTATTAAACAGCAAATAAAACTTGTTTCTCATAGATGAAAAGTCTAATAATTAATATAGAATATTTGTCTCTTATTAAAAATTCGATAACATTGATAAAAAAAGATAATTACTGACATATTGTTATTCTGACTAAAATCGAAACAAAATACTTTTCACTTAATAAAAAAACGTACAAAATATCATTTACGTTTCTCTCAATCTACTCAAAATTGATATCTCGTTTTTTTTTGTTAAAAAATCTTAATTTTTTTTTTTATTTTTTTTATTACAATTAAAGTCAAACATTATTAGACACAATTGTTGCTGCACTTTGACGATGCTACTAACAATGAAATATAATGGACGTTAAAATTCAAAATCATTGAGTAACGAGCAAAACTATTTCATCGATGTGTCATTCATAAACCTTACACTGTTATATCAGAATTATTTGAAAATTACATTCAAACAAAATCTATGCAAATGTATTTGAGCATGCAAATCGTTCATTAAATATCATACAGATCGTTCATTAAATATCTACAATATGGGAAACTATTTTTACGTCAAAAATTGACTGCTACTTAGACACATTATTTGCTTTGTTTCATCACTAAAAAGTATTTGAGAAATTGTGTTAATATCTTGTAAAAACTTATTCTATCTTAAAAAAAAAGATAAATAGCCGGGATTTTAGGTTCAGTTATTATTTAAGTTTAGTAATAAAACAATTTCACACACACACACGCACACAATTGTTGCACTGTATAATCTTTTGAAAAACTAAATTTACCTTCATAATCTGACATTGTTTTTCAATAGGATTAATGTATATAAAAAAAAAAAATATAATTTCATCAGTAATCAAATAATTCTTCATAAGTTAATAATAATAATAATAATCTTAATCTAATATATCCGTTAAATATGTTAGAATAAATTTTTTTGTTAATAATAAATTTAAATAACTGTATATCGTCGTGTTAAAGAGGATTTAACATTAAAAAAGAAAAAAAAGAAGAGATAAAGTTAAAATTGACTAGTTTTATTCAAAAAAAAAAAAAAAAATTGATGAATTTTACAATTTTTTTTCTCTCAATCATGATTATGATGTCGTGCCAACTCAACTATCTTTTGTTATATTATATATATTGAGATGTCAAATATATAAAAGTAGTCATATTTTTTCCTCTTTTATTTTTTATTTTTCTTCTTTTGTTCTTTTTTTCTTTCGTGATTAATCTTTCTAAATGAATATTGCATTTTACTAAAGTCTTCCTCCCAATTATTTGGTAGGCGTTTCGAGAGAGTAAGTGTATGAGAGTCCTTTTATCTAAGAAGCAAGAAAAATTTTAATATGCACAATCTTCTTTATTCCCCATACACCAAAGTAATTTAAACAAGATAAAATCAGAATATTTTATTTTTGACTTTTCATCTTGATAGATTTTCATTTATTTTTCATCCTTTATATCATATTTGAATACTATACGGGCATAGCAATCAAACATGATTTTGATGATATATAATTATTAACACTAATAAATACATAATTTCGTGTATTAAGATCAAATATATACTGGCTAACACATTGTGAATATTTAAAAGCTAGAAATTATTAAAAGTTTTATAGACTAAACAAAATACTCTTATAGAAAATGTTCACATCAGATAAGACGGTAAGATTATGTTTCAAATTTCTTTCTTAGAGAAAGTGTTTTATACTCAGATATAGTTGATAGTTGTTTTTCTATGTGCAATGTGTAATGATCTTATATTCCTTTAGTTTTCTATTATCCATTTTAAAAAGAAGATTCATTTTTCAAAATTATTTTTAAGAGAAAAACAATTAGAGATCTATGATTTTCGACACTAGTGTGTAAACTTGAGACTAGTTCGTAGTATCATCAACTAAATGTGCTAGTCTTCATTAATCTTTAAAGGAATAGAAAAGATTATCATGTCAAAAAAGAACAAAAAATACAATGCGTTGATTTTCGATTTTCAAATTGTTAGATTTTATTCCAAAATTATACAGTAGTCCAGATTTTTCATCTATTATTATAATCAAATAACATGATTTTTGTTGAAAGATTCAAAAATTGATCATAGACAAGTTTGAGGAATATGTAAAAATAGTTAATAGTATATTTTATCGACTATTCTGCATTTAGTAGTAATATTTGTTTTTTTAATAGAGTAAATTACAAATAATCTAGTGAAAATCTATTTTAAGAAAAATAAGAGATTTTTAAAATACTTTCATATTATCAAAATATATTACATAATTCACTAATTGATTGAAGATTTCAATATATAACAAGATGGGCACTTCAGTTTTTCCAAGTGGTTGAATAAATACTAAAATGTTACTATTGACTAAGATGATTTTCTTGAGTTAATAATCTAGTAGTAAAAAATAACTTTTAACAAAAGCATGATATAAAACGATATAGAAGAGTACTCTACTATTTTAAAACACTATTAACTATAGTATGGAAGACATATGCTATATATTACATTTGTCATTTGCATTAAATTTTATTGCATCGTTCTTGTATAGTCAAATCTTAGATAGATAAAACATAATTTGAATTTATTTTAAGTATTATTATTATCAATTAAGCGACACTATAGTCGTCTTCTGTCTTCCTTTCTTTTCATCCTTTCATCTTTACTCTACCACTGTTAATTTCTAAATAACTTCAGTTCATATAACTTTCTTCATCTACGATCTTTCATCGTTGAAATTGTTTTATCACCAACTCATGTACATCAGTTGTAAATCTTTCGCAATAATATTTGACTATCTTGTTGATGGACTTGTGAAATACTCGAATACAAATTTCGATTTACAAATAAATATCTGCTTTGCAATTCGAATAGGCTTTCATATGATTTAGATATTCGAATCATCTACATCGAACAAACGTACTGATGAGACGTTATTGAGTTCAATATTGTACCTTGTCATTTGATAAAAGGTCATTTCTACGTCTTTTTGTAGGTGTTTAATAAAAATTGTAGAATAATGTAGGTATTTAATTTTATTTGTAGAAAAATGTAGGTGTTTAATAAAAATTATTGAAGAAAAATCTCGTTTTCGTTTTTTACAAAAAAGAAAAAAAACTATTTTCTTTTTAGAATTTGAGAAAGAATTAGAAAAACAAGCAAAAGCCGAGTTTATGAAAATTGGAGTCTTGGGGATGTTTTCACCTATGATTAAAAAATTCATAATTTACTTAAAGTATGTTATAATAACGGGAGAACATTAGAATATAATTAGTTTTGTTCGCTAAGCTTAGTTATGGGCTCTAATTAAAAAAAAAAAAAACGATTTTCTGCTTTGGTTTAGAAGAATGTTTTGTAGCAACTCTTTCGGAGTTGTTTTTTAGATTCTTTTTAAATTTATTCATTAAAAAATCTACAGTTGAGTTTTTCTTTTACATCAAATATCAGATTAATGAATTATGTCATCAGTTATGAACATGTTTGAATAAGTATATTTTCTATTTCAGAAGAAAACCTTCATCCTTTTCAATGAAGACTTTTTTTTTATGCTTGAATTAAATATTTATGTAGATTAGTGAAATGTTTATGAACAATTCCGTTCTTAATGTTCACAAGTACAAAAAAAAGAAAAATGACTATGTAACTTCCGTTATACAGAATAAAGTAGTCTATAATTTGTTACTTTATTCTGTATAATGGAAGTTCCAAAAAACATTTTTATTAAACATATTTCAAATAAAAAAATGTTAAACATTTAAAACACCTCTAGGAAGGAATTTGAAGCATAATATTATCGCTTTGTCTAGCGTGGGCATACACTGATTCTTTGGCTAAAGATTTTATACTTTTGTTTTTGAATGTTTGCCATTTCGTTGATAGTATCGTTAAAAATTTTTTAAATCAATAGGATTGTAGAGCAAACATTTCTCTAGAAAAGAAAGGGTCTACTAGTTTCCTGGACTGTGGCAAATTCACCAAGTCCAAGTCATGAAACAAGCAAAGCGAGTCCGAGTCTCGAGTCCATTTCGAATTCGATCATTTTTTCAAATCTTTTTATCTATCGTTATTTTATATTTCTTTTCTCTTATGTTGTACAACATATCAATCTTATTATAACAGAAAAAGTTACATAAGTGAACTTCTATATTCCATACTGATATTGAAAAATTGAACATTTTCAAATGATATTCTCCAATAACGATTTCCTCAATGTCTTACTCTAAAGTGAATGCATATCGCTCTACAAGTCAAAAATTTAGGGTTATTCTTGTAGTCTACAGGAAAAGAGATAATCAAAAACCGGCATGTTAATTTTGTTTCTGATTCGTCTATTCCCTCTGTAACTATTACGTCTAAAAATTAAAAATAATATTTATGCTTTGTAAACTGTCTAAGAGATATTTACACAATTTTCTAGTTCAATGCAAAAAATTCTTTTCTTCTTTTATTTTTTGTCTAAACAACTAAAACAAAGACCTATACAAAATTGTATCCGTTTATGTTTCCTGTTCACAAGTGACAAAAAATCAATGATTACAAAAAAAGAATTTATGTTAATCAATTGCGTATAAAATTTATTGTTAAAATCAATTCAAAATATTGATAAAGAACTGTAGAACTATATAATCTAATAAATTTCTATCATAATTAAATATTAAATGATAATTGTTTGAAAAGTTGACGTTCAAATTAGAATAATTTTTAATTAGCATATTTCTCTCTCACAAATATATAGAAGATGATAAGGTTGAAAAGATGGTCAACAGTCATATTAACAATAGTTTTCATAGTTAATTTTTCAATTCATCCAGTACACAAATCTTTGTAGTGTGCGTGAGAAACAATTCAAATATTCTATATAATTCAAATTTTATTTTAGAAAAAAATATCCTCAGATATCAGCATTGAATTAGCCAATAGAGCATACAAAAAGAAAGAAAAAACATTTAAAAATTGATTTATACTTGATCCATAGTAAAACATGATAAATCCTTAAAATGTTCAATAACTTCAGATATACCAGGTCGTTTTTCAGCATCCGTTTGCAACATGACTAACATGAACTCAACAATTTCCTTTGGATAAGTTAATGCTTGACTTTTAGGTATATCAATTACTCCAGATGTAGCAGCTAAAGCTACACTATCTCCTCGAGAATAGACATCATCAAATGGTCCTAAAAATAGATTTTATAAATGATAATTTCATTTCATGAATTTATTTAGTATACCTCGTCCAAAAAGCATTGCATACAAAATACCACCCAATGAGAATATATCTATAGCAAGAAAAAGAAAATGAAGAATAGTATTCGAATAGAGAAAATAAGAATTCGTATCTTCTATTTACCTGCTTTTTCCGTTATTATACTGTTCGTTTCAATATGAAATAATTCAGGAGCACGATATTGCAAACAACAGTTTTCAGCTGCCCAATCCTTCATTAAAAAGTTTCCAACATAACAAATAAAATTTAATAACGAAAAAAAGTGAGACTCACCTGCCATTGTTGAGCCTCTTGTCGCGTGTTAGCCTTTATTTTTCCGGCTGTCATTGATCCAAAATCCAGTAGTACACATTTCGTATTATGAATTACCATTATATTACTC